AGGAAATGCCTACTGATTTTCTGATTAGCTGTCGTCCTTTATTTTTCATTAATTAATATTCAGATGGTAGCATACATACTTACGCCTGTTACCCATAGTGGAGGAGCATGAGCCGCTCATCAGCATTCTCTATCCAACTCTGTCCTGGTCAATAATTTCTAGTTCCTATACATCCTTTTCATATCTGCTTCGAATTCTCGAAGTCGTGTGTTCGTTGAAGTTCCTCTTCTTCGCTTCTCCTCAGGGTTCCACGTTAGCGCTTGCCTCATGATGCAGTTTGATGATTTCCTCAATGTGTGTCCTATCCACTTCCAACATCTTCAGATGGAAGCTGTTTGGTTCTCTCTCACAGTAAGCTAGTGCTGATCGTATCCAGCTAACGAACATTCAGTATCTTACGTGGACAATTGTTTACAAATACTTTTACCTTTTTGACTATGGTTGCGTTAGTCCTCGAAGTTTCAGCTCCGTACAGCTGAACTGTCTTGACGCTCGTATTGAAAATCCTGACTTTGATATTGGTTGAAAGTTGTTTTGAACTCCATATGTTCTTCAACTGTAGAAATGAGGCCCTTGTTTTGCTAATCCTCGCCTTTATGTCTTCATCCGATCCTCCTCGTTCATCGATGATGCTGTCTAGGTACGTGAAAGTTTCCACATCTTCCAGAGTTTCTCCATCAAGTGTGGTTGTGTTGATGTTTTCCGTGTTGTGTTTGAGCATGCTACTTTTTCCTTTGCGTATTTTGAGGCCTACCGCTACACTGACTGTGTTTCATTTGCATTGGTTGGTGTGTATAGGATAAAAGGACCAGGTCATCTGTGAAGTTCAAGTAGTCTAGTTGCATCCAAGCTGTTCATTTTATCCCGTGCTTTCCCTCAGATGTCGAGGTTTTCGTAAGCCAGTCAACCACTAGAAGAAAGAGAAATAAGGAGTTTAGGCAATCTAGTCTGATAGTGGCCTTCACTTGAAATGAATCTCTCAGCTGTCATCCTTGAACGATTTCGCAGTCTAGTCCATCGTATGAATTCCTGATGATGTTGGCGATCATCTCAGGTACATCATAGTGTCGAACAGGGTTCCATACGTTTCCCCGTTCACGTTGTCAGATGACTTCTCATAGTTAAAGAAGTATATGTATAGATATTACTTCCATCCAACTGATTATTAGACAATGATCCATATGCCACGATTTAGTCCGTTAACAACCGATCCTTAAGGAATCCGGGATATTGATCTCGAAGTTCGGCATCTACTGAATCTTCCATTAGGTTCAACAACACTCTGTTGAAAACGTTTTCTGGCACTGATAGTGTAGTGGTGACACTGGTTTTCACACTTGCTCAGACCTTCTTTCTTCTTTTAGTAGATCCTGTAAGGCTTGGAACCTGTTATCTTGAATTCGTTGAGTTTGTTAGCATCTCGTAGGGAGACTGCAATGAACCTTTGTAACGCTTTTTCCCTAGCTTTCTAGTATTTCTTCAGCTTCACTCTCATCTTGGCCAGGTGGTGGTAGGGAGCTTCCCTCCTGGTTCTCACATTTTCCATCGTCCTTCGAAATTTTTTATTGATAGAAATATGATTTATCTGGTCCTTCGTGGTGTGGTCGGGTGAAACCTATGTAGCATTGTGCATGCATTTGTGTGGGAATAATGAGCGGCCCATAACCAAGTTTTCCAATGCACATGTGTGTGCAAAGCTCTCCATACTTTCATTTCTCTGTCTCAGTCCATGATATCCAATGACATATTGATACTCGTTATTCATTCCGATTTTGACATTTCAGTCTCCCATCAGGATTGTTGTTATATCCGAGTGAAGATTAAATTACGGGTAACTTCCGAGGACTATTAATGGACTGATATTCTATAAAGATTCTTATTGTATAATTATTCAATAATTAGATTATATATATTTATATTCCTCTTATTATAAGCTTCATTTTGACCTATGCTCAGTTTATCAACTGCTGTATCCCACATTCACAGCCACTTTTTGGCTTTATTGTGTACAAATGTTATTTCCTATTTTATGGTGCGTTGCGGTTTGTTTGTTTGATATATAAACACAGTATGTTTGAAATATATGATTCGCATAGTTAAAACTGATATTGGTGTTCTGGACTCAAATGGAAGGGCTAGGCGAACATAGGACCAATAAAGACGCCAGGTTTCTCATACCGGCTAAGCGTAATTGGTTTGGCACAGTGCTAAGATTGTATAAGTCGTATTTTGATTGGTGGATAAATCACGTTATAACTAGCCGGACATAAAGTCCTAACAATTGTCAGGTCCTTTCCTGGGCACTTCGTTATGTTCGATTACAGCCTCTCGTAGAATTGGATTTTATCGTTGCCATTGCTATCATTGGTGGGTACATAACACTAGATAACATTCATTGTAATTCCCGCTTTCTTTGTTTAGAAAGATGGTTTTATAATTCTGGGCCCATGAGATTTCCGTCTTATAAGTACTCTTTGTTCTTCTGTGGACAGTATCAGAGCAACTCCCGGAGCGTGCAAATCATTCATTTCATGACTAAAGTACAATAGAATCTCTCCTGAATCTAATATTTCCTGTCCAGTTCAATGGGTTTCACTAATTCCGAGAACCACTGGGTTGTATCTCCTCATCTCCTCAGCTATTTTTTTGGTCCTCTCGGTCTCCCACGTTGTCCGGACATTCTACATCCATATATTTATTGTTGCCCTGGTCGTTAGAAAGGGGAATGGCCTAGTGACTTTTGAAGAATCCCAGCTTGCACCATGAAGCATCGTAATTCTTCTCAATGAAGACCCTTCAACTCTGAGGGCAGAGTTAAAGTGGTTAACATTGCTTTTTCTGGCAAGCAATTTTTAGCAAGGTTGTTTTTTACTGGATAGGGTTGCTGAGCACATGCTCAAACCTCCTTCTTTACCCGGTCTTGAGACCGTCAGTAACCCTGGTAGAACTGCAGGCGGAGTTATTCAGATGATAATGTTGGTATGGAAGTGAACTGCTGCAGAATACGCCTTTATTAAAAATACATTAGTCTCCAAATTGATGGATTACATTTAGTTGATTACAGTAATGGAGCAGTTATGTATCCTAGCAGTCGCTGTAAGACAAAGTTCTTTATATAAGTTGATCACTGAATAGTAACCACCGTCGTTTTGTTTAGCCATTAGTCATGATTAAATTCTAAAATGTGACCGTCAATCAAGTAACACGATACCTCAGCTAAGTTTGTCAGATGGTAGACTATCGAAAGCGGTAGGCCGATTTCATTTACTAAACTATTCTCTCCTTATTGTACACGTTTTTCAGAAAATAAGATAATAATAACTTGACTTATATGATTTTTTTAAGGTTTTGTATATGTAAACCCTTAACCATAATGACTTGTGCACTTATGCCTTAGACTTCAACAGAAAGTGATGAGCTAAATATGCTTATCACTTAAACAATTGTATTAAAACACATTGGCAATTTAATCTGAACGGTAAATTCTATGATTTATATGTGTATTACATTCAATGGACGAAAACTATGAAAATCAACGTAAAATTAGTAATGTCGACTCAGGAGTTTTTCTGTTTATCTCGACCAAACTAGATTTTCATGAAGTTTTATAATTTACTGAAATTTCATATTTGCAAGATAAAATTAACATGTAAACGTACGTTTTCTACATGTTTGTATGAGATAGGAACGTAAAAGAACATTCAAACACTGAACTCAAAACAGGTGCTGGTAATATCTATAGCCAAAATGTGTTGAAAAACTTTCGATGACGCATTAACTACATAACAAATGATAGAGAAATGAACCATAAACATAAATTTTTCGTCAGATTTCGTACACTTTACATGAGCTAACACAGCTTGGGAGACAGCGGTTACGAAAAGCCAAATACGAAATAATTTGGATACATTCATTCTAGAAATTCTTTTTATTCAGACAGACGATGAGATATATGAAGCGGATAAGATAAACATCCCAACTTCATTTAATAAAACGAAACTCAAAATCTATAGTCAGACGAAAACACAATTGATGAAAAGGGTTAGTTATATAAACACATAAACACATGCTCACATTAAAGCAATAAAATTTACAAGTCAATTTACAAGGTCAAACAAATGTGTAGGCAGGGAATCATGAAGATCATATTAATTAGTACGTCTCAAAGCTGGAATGGTACGATATATTACAAATTACATCAATATCTCGTTTACTTGATATATTCTTCTCTTAGTGTTTTGATCAACATATGTTCCTTTACATGAGAAGCTATAAGTAAATAGCATTTAGTTCTTAGAATTACTAGTTTTCCCATGTGTAATCCGAAGATCTCCTTCAAGACACAGATCTGTTACCTTTGAAGAACATTTATTTTAAAATTATAACACTTTCAACCATAAAATGTTTAGTTTGTTCATTTTAATATAAAATAATTTACAACTAATATACTAATGAGAACGTTAGTTAAAAGTATGTGAGGTTTCCATATTACATTGTATTTTACTTAAGTGGTTTAATCACAAGTTTAAGTATATTCTTAAAAGTAGTAACCGATCATTTGACAGTGTATCAGTTTTTATGAATGTTATATTTATTCATGTTTAAAATGGTATGAATGATGAGTAATCCAATATTAAGTAGCCTATATGAACTTTTAATGGTAAATAGATCACAATGAAAAGTAGTTCATATGAGCTACAAAAATCTCTAAATTATGAAGTTGTAATAGGCATGCTTAACACAGAAATCGATATACAATACTATTATGCATCCATATCTTTAAATAATCTTTTAGAAAGAACATAAATCAAAGCTTAACAAACTAAAAATTCTCATATCTAATATATAGGAATCGACGCTGATTGTATAGGTCTCAAGAACTATCATATAAAGTGAATCAAAAACCAAATGAATAATCGTTTTATTTCCTTTAACATAACATTCACAATTAATTGAACATAAAGTTTAATTTAGTTCTATTCTTGATTCCATTAACCTTATTATCCAAATCGTAAAGGAGAAATCGGCAGTTTGTTCATAGATGCTTCTTCTTCTTGTAACATATGATTTAAATAATGTGCCAGTTCTTCTCGTGAGTAAACTAAATTGAATTAGAATATAAAAAAACACATTAAAAGTAATTCACAACAATGCAGTGTATAGAGTATACAAAAGATATAAATAGAAGTAATGAATCATATTTTGTCATTTAAACTCATATTGAGACTTACAGAAACCTGTTTAGAGAAGAGAAATATTTTGCTAAGTAAATCGTAGTGATGAAATATAATTCGTAATGCTGACTCAAATCTTCTACTTGGTGTGAATAGTAGAGTTTGATAAACCAGTATATGGTAGATTATCATCAAAATAAAAGATATTTATGTGGAGTTCATAACAGCTTGCATGACTCAACAACAAGCTTGAAAAGCATAGTGAAAGCTGGAGATTTTTCCACACAACAATACAGCTACTAACATTATTACTAAGCTGTCACAATGAAATAGCGCTAATTAGGTTTGTTCATATGAATTGATAATCAGCCGTTTTCAGATTCTTATTCTCATATCACCGTACTGTTTGCATGGATGAGTGATGTCAGTATGAATTTTGAGATGCTTAAAGAATATAAATGAACCATATTAAGTATAAATTATTATTTCTGAAATCTCACCCAAATTGCTTCATCTTTAAAGTATAAACGTAGACATGTTGAAACAGATGACTAGATATAACAAATGATCCCCATAGAATCTTTCAGAGTTTGTTTTTGGTAATAATCTTGAGTCTGTAAGGCTGAATAGTTTAAGTAAACTGGTAAAATAAGTAGTCATACAAATTTTTGTTTTCAAACTTCCTGTCTGACTAAGGTACCCTTGGAGTGACCCATAAAATGGCATCAGAAGTATTGCTCAAAAGATTTTCAACTAAGACAGTAACATTTAGAATTATTAACAACAGAACATGTAATATATGCTCACAACAACCAAAATGACCAATGACAACATCCTCACAAAACGCTGTCGAAGATAAGTATTCTTGCAATCAATCATGCAAGCAAATATATTTTTCTCTTCAGTGATATCTATAAAATCGCTCAACGTGAAGTATTCTGGCTACAGATTGTTTCACTTTATATGATTATACATTTTGATTATTACTTTCATTTAGTTTATAACAATAGTATAAGACCATTTGTGAATTTGTAGTAGTAATCCTTATGAATGAACGAAACCTTAACCCTACTTTACTGTGCTCATTTACGACGTTCCTGTCCTTAGTAATAATTAATTTTTAGATACTTGAGATGCTTTTTAGAATTCACTCCTTCTACGCTTTATTTTAATATTCACAAACCATGAGGTCCTGAAAAGTGTTTTGCCCTATTGAATAATGAAAACATTTACTTATGTGTCTATGACACCAAACTGTGTGACTTATCTGTCAATCATATTTTGGTTTCATACGGATTACTAAACAATAGTCTAGGCTGATGGACTATTTTTAGTTCATCAAATTAGCTACTCAATCAACTCTTTATGTATAAATTCAAGTAGTTCTGCATTCTAGGAAAACTTCATTTAATGACTTTATTATCTAAAAATATCTACCTTTACTTCAAAACTTGATTTGAGCTTAACGCATTTTTTCCTCTCTGTATTTTTTGATATGTGGTTTGTGAACTTGATAACTTACTTTGCTTACATCTGTTATCCCTCGTGGAGGAGCATAAGCCAACCACCAGCATTCTTCATTCAACTCTGTCCTGAGCAATCCTTACCAGTTGTTTCCAGTTCCTATTCATCCTTTTCATGTCTCGTTCCAATTCCTGAAGTAATGTGTTCCTTGATCTTCCTCTTTTCCCTTTTCCTTCAAGATCTCAAGATAGCGCTTGCCTCGTGATGAAGTTTGATGCTTTCCGCAATGTATTAATTAGTCTGTTCACCATTATTTCTCTAACAGAATGTATTCTCATTCATAATACATATAACTATCCTAAGTTGAGTTTAAAGTCAGCTTATAATCCTTACCATCATTCCTTTAAAACATTAACAACTCCGTTATTTTTTCTGCATAATAGTACTCAATGTTACGGTTAAAAATTTACTCCTGAGTTACTTCATTTTTAGTGAACTTGACAAAGTTTAGTTGACAGCCACTTTTTGTGTATCCATTTAGAGAATCATTGACAAGTACACACCTAATCATACTTTACATTTTCCGTTGATTTACAATTATATGAGTATATATATATCATACATTTTATATCCTTAATGTATTAATAACGTACAAATGCGTTTCTACATTAACATAAACAGAACAGGAACAATAATTTAATTAATAATTTGTCGCTACTAAATGATTCAATGGCTTGAAAAACTTTAAGGTAGATGTCTTTTAAAAAAGTTATCAAAAATACTTGTGCAAAAGCACTAAATATTACACTAAATTGTTATCAATAGAATTGTGTATTAATGAAGTTTATGAAAGACCACAAGCAGGTAAGCATATTGTGCAGACGATATAGTGTGAGAAGCTGTGAATAAATTGTTGGATTTCTCTTGATGTAATAACATTTTATTTTCTTTATTTGAGAAGAGAAATAGGAAATAAATTATCGGTTGATGTTATTTGTTGTTAGTAGTAAATTTTAAGAGGAGCACTTTATCTTACTTGAATTAGATCAAATACAACATTCAGATGTACCTGAAGTTATTGTCTGTATATGCATAATGAAGAATATTCATTGAAAGAATTCGTTAATCTCAGTACTATAGACTCATTTTAAAAAATTTCCAAACTTATATAATTTCAATGATTACTGCAGAACTACTGATTATTCACAGTTATACTATAGCAACTATCCTACAAACAACTTCAATTATGGTTAATTTTGGTTAAGCCCTTTTATTAACTTACTTAACAGACAATGTTATTTGAACAATAACAATTCGCATATTTCTTTGTACTATTATGATCACTAGATCCATATGACAGACTCTAGCTTGAATGTTGATTGCTTAAATATCACCCGATGATTCATGTTCCTCCCTATGCATGTATGTACTCAAATCCTATTATTAATCCTTGTTTTGCCTCGCTGCACCCTTATGCAATTTGACCATAAATTTACCTATATATTTGCTTACATATACTTATTCGCTTCTCCGCTTTAAATTCGCTCGATATGCTTATTAGCTTTGTGATCGGCGCTGTCCCCTAACTAACTGTAGTTGCCGCTTCTCATTGCCTTTTGATTTGAATCACCGTTGAGATTTATATTATAACGGTGATTGGGGAGAATAAATAACGAAGTAAAGTCACTACAATTCAGTATTAATTAACCAAACAAAAAATGTGATATTTTACTGACATAATATAAAACTGTATAACACAGTAAACATTTAATATACCGTATTTTTTTAAAAATTATCTTTTTTAAAATGTTTATTTTCCTGATAAGATCTCTTACATAAAGCAACTGTCAAACAACAAATCCGTTCATATTAAGATTCACTGAAAAAAAATATCCGTGATGAGGCTAATTCAGATTTGGTAAATTAAGGAAATAACAAATAAATATTTAACATGTAAACTAAATCAGTAAAACTGAATCAGAATTTGTTATGAAATTATTGACGAAATTTCGCAAACATTGTGAATTGGGTTTCGTCTTCAACTGAGTAGAATCATTTGATTTAATGAAATTCCTGATTGAATTCTTTTCAAACGAATGATAAAACTTAAATGAATATTATAATCTTTGTCAACATACGACTGAGAAGTGTTAACGTTTGGAGAAAACATTAATAATGAAGTTCCCATCTTTTATTGAATATAGTCAATATACAGTTTTAAAGATATGCTTCATTTTTCCAACATGATCATATGTCACATCAAGCTACATAACATCCAGATTAAAATTTTATACTCACAAAACGTTTTTATTTATTGCTAATAACATTTTGCACAAAAACATTCTAGAAATGTTTACTCATATATAAATTGTATGAAACATTTGATTCTTATAACTAGATGGGTGGACGCATACCCTATATTCATTAGTTAAAATTTCGGATTCAGGAACCAATTGGTAGCATCGTGAAAATCCTACTTTTTTCTTCAACCACAGTCAATAACTCATGACTAAGTCCACTTAACAAAAAGAGTATTGTTTCAATTGTTTTTTTTAGTATAAGGTTATGGAGATTGTTAAGTCCCAAATGATATCATGAATGAATGTATGTTAGACCACCATTGAAAATCTGGAAGCAATGGACAGTCATTTCGTCTTTGTGTGAGATTCCACAGCAGTGCAAATCCACGATCCCGGTTTTCAGTGGTGGTCTAACATTCGTCCATTCATGATATCAATTGAAACTCAACAATCTCGATAACCGTATACTGATAAATAACATTTGATCGCTAAGGACTGGCTTCAATATGAGTTTCCTGGAATTTTTTTTTCGTTAGACGGTTGACTACTGATATTGGATACGGTGTTAATTACAATTATTACATTAAATTATTTGTGAAAAATGATCTATAGTGTTCAGTATTGTTTTTGAATTTTAGAATATTATAATCGATTTAACTGATCATTTGATTTGGCTCCAAATATTTTGTTTCGAACCCTCAAAGATGTACGAAACTACGTTATGGGATATCGATCAAAGTGTTCTATGTAAACAAAAGGGTCCCTCTCAGTTGCTACGTTATTATTAACAGGATGTTGTGAGTTCTTACTTTGAACACATTAAAAAGAAGCAGTTACTGACATTCTGAATACCAATGGTATCAAGACTAGTATGCATTCCACCTTTTGTTACAACCAAATTACACAATTTACACGCAACAGTGGCTTAATCCATCATATTATACCACTGTTGCGTGTTTTACACATTTCGAAAAGGAATCTTCAAAAACGTACTTGACAGTTTAATGGTGATCAGTGGAGCTAATCCGTGTCGGGTAGAAACAGGTGTCTACCTCAGTGCAATGGAAGATGGTCACTCAATTTCGTGGATTGGTTGAGGTTAGACATTAATACCATTGGATGCCGGCTCAGTGGTCCAGTAGGTTAAGAGTTCGCGCTCGAGA